TAATGTGCTCAGATGCCCTCAACCTAATGCGATTGTTTTTAAATCAGTGTATGCAGGTGACAAACCTAACTTATAAGAATCGACAACTAGGGGCACGAACCACGTAAGGTTCACGCGAACAGCAGATTCAATATGACCAAGAATATAATACCTCATTTGTGCTAAACAAAAAGAGTCATCACTTCTTGCAAACCCGAGGGGTAGCACAAGTTCGGAAATTCATTTGTAATATAGTTTAGGTTAGTCCATAAACTATGTGATTATGAGTCACTTCTTGAAGAAGCAATGATGTTAAACATAAAAGCGTCGGAAACAACTTTCCCCAAAACTTGGAAAGAAAAACGGGTACTCGACAAGAAAAATTTTTAAATGCCGTTGCAGATAACAACTAAATTACTTGACCGTTTGGTCTATGATGAACTATCCTCTATCAGATGTTGCGCCCAGGTAAGAAGTGTATCACAAGTGAAGTATTATCATCCAAAGGTGCCTATGTTTTGGTTGATGTTTCAGCATAATTCATCCTTACCCACGCACACAAGATGAAAATTTTCGAAAACCTCATACTTTAAACCTCAATATTTTCTGTTCCTTTTGGGTCTTGTTTAGGCTGTGACATTTTAGCCAGCCGTGTGGTTGCTGGGTCAATAAGGTAGGATTCCGAGCTCAAGAAATGCACCCATCACATTATCGGATATTTTGGACATCATAGCTTTCCAATTATCTGATGATACCAAATGTAAAAGTAAATTAGCAAAGCGAAATCGAGCGTGCAGACGGAACTATGTTGATCAATATTATCGTCCAATTATGCTCTGTGGTTTGCCAGATACTCGCCTTGCTTCATTTTAACAACTGTCCATTGCATAGAATGGTCGATCGGATACCAATCTCTTTCTGCTCACCAATTCGGTAACATTTGGTGTGATAATCCCGAGGGACACGTCCACCTGGCAACCCATTAGTATGCTCAGAGCTCATTGTTGACTTAGAAAACAAGTCGTTTTGGGATCAGGGCAACTATTTTTGCAGCATTAGCAACAATTTCATTGGCAGAAGAGATTAAGGATCACGGAGACGTGTTGTGGGATGAAGATTGCCTGCAAGCAATACCGTGAGCCTCGTAGATGTGAACTACAAAAGGTCTTGATTGGATAGTTGAATTAAGGTATGGTCACCACGTCAAAGCATCGGTTTTGGGTGCTGTCTGTTATCTTCTACTGCCGTGAAAAACTTTCTGTTGACCATTCTGACATTAGGATTGACGAGTGATGTTCAGATTACGTCCACAAATGGCGGAGCGAATGTGTACATTGTACTGCTTATCTTAAAAAACCAAATATAGATTTGAATACATACACCACGACAAAAGTATTGCACCTATATCGACTTTTGGATTAGTTTTGCTCCCAGTCTTGATTGTCACCATTTTTGAGAATCTAGATAGCAGCCGAAATACGAAGTTTCATTAAATTATCATTAATTTTTACGAAATAGAAAATTTTACTGCGACAGAAGTATGAATCTCATAAACCCAACTTAGTTTTAACACGGGTGCGATGCAAATCCCAAGTTTACACTTCGCCACGGCATTCGTGGTGAGTAAGTAATTGACAGACTGGTGTAAGCTACAATGACCTTGAAGAAACAAAGATATTCAAGAAGGTTGTTACAAAATATTGCCAACCACGGTGCGATGGAAAAGGCCTACTGATAACTAGAAATCCAGAAGTGATATGAAATCAATGTCGGCACGCGTAAGGTAGTCAGACCGTGCAACAGGTACCGATTACGCTGTGGTACGATATTTGGAGCAGAAACGGCCATAAAGTGATTGGACACCGGGTTAAGTTAAGGACCAATGGCCTCGAACTTGATGAGTCAGGTGGCGGAGGAGAAAACCGTGCTTCAGTTTCGGCGCGAATAGTAAAACGAACATTTGATACAGTCCCCCTGGACGAAATACGATAAAATGAGGAAGCAGATAGCCCTAACAATTTTACAAACAAAAAGATTTATTGGAAACTGAAACTCATGTAACTTCAAAACACGAATGGAATTTCGTCTACTTTGGCAGCGATTTTCTTCTACTTTAGATGAGCTCGACGCGTGGAAGTACTACTGGTATGTACTTTAGAAATAGCGGTATGCCATTAAGCGGATTAGCGATTGAAACTGTGATGGTACGGGGTACCTTATAAAGCAGCAGCCCAGTTGAACTCGATATAGTGCGTGGGGTTCAAAATTCTGATCCATTTATTCGTACATTGGAGTGGCAGATTATGCTAGCCATGACATTGAATGACCACCACTTACCAGCACGATTTTGTCGTAGTTCATTACTCACACCTAACAAAATGCTGGTTATTATTTCGTGACATCAAAACAATGGTGTGGCCTGCGTGCAGCCCAGATTTGAACCCAATAGAAAACACTTGGACTATTCTTACTCAAAGGTACACAAACACTCTATAGTTTACATCACTCAACGTGAATTAAGGGCATTGTTGATTAGGGAGTGGAGTAGTATCGACGGGGACATGATTCGGAAGCACATATAGTAATAAATTGGCCTTAATAGGTAAAATCCATGGGGTGAAAATGTCTTTTTCCACATATTTTTGGAAAAATTATTGATAATTTGTTCCTTCGGCTGCCATCTAGATTCTCAAAAATGGTGACGATCGTGCCTGTGGGAGCGGAGGTGATCTAAAAGTCGATATGGGCGCAATACTCTTGTCGTGAGGTATATATTCTAACTAATATCATGTATCTCAGGTAGAAATGAAAATCGCTCTTTGATGTTGGATATTTATAGAGAATAGTCTCTAGTCAAACGTAAATAAATGCTGCATTCGGATACTTAAGTCGATTACTTGCACAGCTAACTGAAAAAACTGGCTCACCTGTACCGGAGTGAGGTGTGATTCATCTGATCGAATGGCACTGCTTTCGGAGCGTGGATCCGTTGAAGCCAAAACAGTTCGTGGGTCCGCGGAACTCGTTAAACTGCGACCTGGAGGTGGCTTGCTCGCAGCCAGTAAGGCAGCCATCTTGTCTAGTTCCGAGCTCACTATTGCCTCGTTATTAGGTGCGCCTGTAGTTTGAAAATTTGGTGGAAAAGGGACAGGTCCAGGAGGGGGGCCGAATGGAGGAGGAAAAGTAGGTAATTCTGGATGCCATTCTGGAATATCGTAAACCGGAGGCCCATGTGGTGGAACCAGTGGAGCTTGTGGCCGAGGACGACTGTCCGTCGGACTTCGTAAGTCTTGATTATTCATTGGAGGAAGCAAGNGAGGGACAAAAGCCCCATCTGGCAGGCCACCAGGACCAGGATATCGCGTTGGCAGGGGTGCGGGACCGAAGGGATTAGTGGGACGATAAAGATGAGGTTCTGGACCATAAGGCCTGATAGGTCCATCGGGCATCGGTGGTCGCAGCAACGCAGGATAGGGATCCATTCTCTCCCGTACTTCGAAATTCGGGCCGGGAGGTCTCAAGCGTTCTTCCGAAGGAAAATTCGGGGCGAATAAGCCCCTATGCCCAGAGGTACAATCAAAATCTTCCCGGGGATGCAATGGTGGATTGCTGGCATGAATAAGACGGAATTGATAAATCAACAAAAAGCTATTACAAAGTAGGGCGCATGATCGGTTTTCAGCAGAGATATA